CTCTCTCTCTCTCTCTCTCTCTCGCTCTCTCCCAGACATCTTCTGAGCTTGAAAAGCGACTCTTACAGCTTTTGGGTTTTCTCGCTCCTTTATTGCTTTGGCCAAAAGAGACGTCACCTTTTGCCACCCATGGTTGGCCTTCCGCCCAAGCGCCCGGCCGACGTCTCCCTTTTTGCCTTTTCGTGCTCGAGTCACTGCAACCGAGTGTGACTTGGCAATCATCTACTTTTGCTGGCTAAATAATACAAACGGACAGGCACGACAATCCCCGGAACGAAGAGCATCAGCTTGATTACACCCCGTTGCATGCCCTCGTACACTCTTGAGATTACAATCTTGCCCCCCATTTCTTTCTTTCTTTCCTCTCCTCGCTTTCCAATCTATGCTATCTGTTCCTGAAATCTAGCAATCATCAAAGATTCCCTGGCAATTCTCCCACGGCCGGCAAGCAGAATCCAAATCTTGCTTCATCCCTTACTTTTTCTCTTTTACCGGTTGCCTTGGGACAGCCAAAGTCCAACAATTAACGACGACATTCTCAAACCATATAGACAAATAATTGCGACTTCATAATCAATCCGTGCAAATTATCGTCAGAGATGGGGTGGCTGCTATATGTTGCATGCGCATCTACTGCAGTAAAGTTATTCGTCTCTTGTTCTGGGGAGAGGAGGAGAGGGAGGTTTACAGTTGTGGAGCGGAGAGGACGACATGAAAAGGAGGACTTTTTTGTGTGAAGGGTTGCTGCGTGCCGTCGCTTTCTTCTGCTCGCCGCCCGAGAAGAGCCGCCCCACTTTAGGTAGCCGACCGCCTCTTGTTTTCTTTTCCTCCCATGCATCCTTCTTCTGTGTCCCGTTTGGTGAAGAATCTTGAGACACACACACACGTATCTGTTCCTTGCTCAGCCACGCAGCAGCATTAAGCTTCTCGATTTCCATGGATTACATCGTCCCACACATCAGATTTGAGTAACCTGCAAGTCTGCGCGTGCTGTGTGTATTGATTGACCCATTTGAGAAGTCCGACATTACAGCAAAAGAGCTTCGTCTCAGCCAAAAAAATCAATGTGGACAGCGATGTCGACCTTGACCGTCAAACTCATACGACTGGGTGTTGTTGCTCCACGATAAGGCCCGATGGATATTTTGGAACATGCATGAGAGACCGAGAGCTCGACTTTTCTTTTTCTTTTTTGGGGGAAAATTTTAGTTCACTTTCACCAAGGAGACAAAAATAGATTGAAAGACTCGACCACAAAATCACATTCACGAAAAAAATGCTTTTACTTGGCTCTCTCTCCCCTTCGTCACCAATAAATGAAGCTTTTCTCCTCCACACACTCTGAAGGTTCGATTGGGTACAATAATTTTCTGGAAATGTTTGACTTTGACTTGGAAATATCTCAGTCTGATGGAGCGAGAGTGGTCGCCTGTCCCATCTCTAGTCTACGACGATGGAATGAATCAAACTGGCACTTGTGCATATCTACGAGGAGGTCTCTTCGTATCCTCATGTCACAACATTATCATATTAAAAATATGAATAATATCATAAGAAGAATTATTCTTATAATACAGTGAGAGAGTTGATGATAGGTAAAGGTAATCCTTTCACGCCACCATCAAGTGAGAATGACGCAGCTTTATTTTTCTCATCGCTTTGATTGTCGAAGTCAAGCTGCATTAAATTCTACGAGTCAGTTTAGTTTTCTGGAAGAAAAATAGTTGCTGAAGAGAAGCCATACTTTCTCAGAACTAAACCACTGTGCATTGATTGGTAAGGAAGCAGTTGAGTTCTTTGAAAGAAAAACCACCTGATTCACTCCTATGTTAGCATCAAACGAAAATGAAAAGAAAGATGACACGGAAAGGAAAAAAGGCAAAGTAATCACACTCGAAATTGCCACTGCTTTCTTCCATATCTGACCAATCAACTGCAAGCCTAGAAAACTTTGCCTGACCAACTTAATTTGCTTCCATAAACCAGTAGAATCATCTCCATTTATTTTAATTGAAAGATTCTCTTCATGCATAATTTTCCCTGCTGCATCATTTTATGTATTGTTGCGTGTAAAATATTCTTAACCTGGCATGTAATGAGATGATAGAAACAAGTAGTTAATACCTGTACAAATCGTCTATGGCAGAAGCTTCATTCATTCAACACCGGCGTGCAAAGGACCGCAAGCAAGTAGATAAAGCAATTGCTTTATCCGAGTGAAGGTCATCGCTAAACAGTTAACAGGAAATTTTCATCTACCAACAACTTTTTCTTTGCTAAAGCTAATTGGCATAAAATAGGCACACTAGTGGGAAAGTCTCAGTTGCAGAAAGTTTTGAGAGGATCTTTGGGGTCAATATCATAAAAGAGGGGTTGATCCACAAGCATGGTCTCGAGGCTCAAGCCCGTGTCTTTAAGCTTCCGAACCACCTCCTCGAACAAAACCCTATTTCCAAGGGAAGTGAAGTGCAATCCATCCCTGCAACCATAGAAAGTTGTTCCAACTACATTGAGGATGAACTTCATATGTATGATAAGCCATGGAAATTTATAATCAAGACTAAACAGGAAATGAATTGCCTGAAAGCACCCAAAACGGACAGCAAGCTTCTAGATTTATTTTAGAGTTCTAGAGAACTAATTCACCTGCATGGTTTCATTAACTATAGTGAAATCCCTGGACAGAAAGAACATAGTCTCTGAACAAATCAAACGAAATTATAAATTTGTTAATTCTGAGGATAGAAGAATGTTTAACATGATCTCTAGTTGGTCTTCGTTAATCCGAACCCATGGCTATCTAACGTTTCCAGCACGTCGGTTGCTTCAGAACCCCAAGCAATTAACTACATAGATGTTCACACTGAAAACATGCCCATCGTAACCCTCCCTGCTAATACTTCAACTGGTTGTTTCCCAAAACCTTTTTTTGGCCTTTTTGGTAATCTGTCCTAGGTTTCATCTTTAAACAAGCAAAAGGCCATTGGAATTTGTTGAAGACCCAAGTGTAGCATCCTGTTAACAAACCTATAAGAAATCATGTTACTATTATTAACAAAGAAAAGATGTGACCATTTCACATCATAGCTTACTCTTATATACACCCAAGACCAAGAGTAACCATATAATCAAAGATAGTTTGTTTGCTAATGTATTAACATGGTCTTTTGATCCAGCATGCGAGCTTGTTAACTTCAGATGTCAATCATATAATAGAATCTCCGGTCATTAAACCTTAATTTATTTCCAATTTCGAAGTTTGTAATTTCCAACTCAAGTTACTAGACTTGATTGTTAAGTAATCGTTGGTGTCCAACTAAAATATCTATGCTATCTATCATAGCATCCCAAATCCCCATTTTGCCAAGCAAACATAGATCTTTCACCTACTAAAACATCTGCACTATTTCACAGTGATTCTGTCACATCCTGG